ACATCAAACAGCATAACTAAATTAACAAAACAACATAGATCTAGATTAGTCTGTTACACTGCATTTGCAAATGCCTGCTCAAAAAGCCAGGTTTTAACTCTAAAATTACAACAGCACAACAACAGAGAGGAAACAAACAAGGACATCTAATCACCTCTCAACAAAAGATTGCCCCAGGTGCAGTCAGGCCATTATATGCTAATCAAGGTGGTCAGTTGAATCATTCACACCTAGCTCCAGCAGCCGAGAGTCCTTTGTCTCACCCTGGTCATTCCACAGATATATAAACCCTTTTTCCTAGTTCCAACAGACCTCACTACCTCTGAGGATGCTTGCCATAGATGCAGGCGAAATGTCAGGAGAGAATGCCTCTAGAACACTAAACCTACAACAACCCAGGTTTTAACCCTTTTTCTGAAATGTTAGGAGGGGGGTGCCAATCTGATATCCTTAGGGAGGGCGTTCCATAGCTGAGGGGCCACTGCTGAGAAGGCCCTGTCTCTCATCCCCGACAATCGCATCTGCGAAGGAGGCAGGAAGGAGACCAGGGTCTCCCCAGACATCTTGAGCTCCTAGCTGGTCCATGGGAGAGATACATCTGGACAGGTAAGCTGAGCCGGAACTGTTTAGATGTGATGTCTTCAGATACATAGTTCCACCTTCAGTCTTTTGAATGCTCACGTTTAAGGGACTTCTAGGCCTACGTTCTTTAACCAAAGCTTTAGAGAGCTACTGGCTATTTCCCCCAGGCAGCGTTCAACATTTTTATTAATGACTTAGATGAAGGGCTAGAAGGCAGGATCATCAAGTTTGCAGACGACACCAAATTGGGAGGGAGACCAATACTCCAGAGGACAGGAGCAGGATTCAAAACGATCTTGACAGATTAGAGAGATGAGGCCAAAACTAACAAAATGAAGTTCAACAGGGACAAATGCAAGATACTCCACTTTGGCAGGAAAAACGAAATGCAAAGATACAGAATGGGGGACGATGCCTGGCTTAAGAGCAGTACGTGTGAAAAAGATCTTGGAGTCCTCGTGGACAACAAGTTAAACATGAGCCAACAATGTGATGTGGCGGCAAAAAAAGCCAATGGGATTTTGGCCTGCATCAATAGGAGCATAGTGTCTAGATCTAGGGAAGTCATGCTACCCCTCTATTCTGCTTTGGTTAGACCACACCTGGAATATTGTGTCCAATTCTGGGCACCACAATTAAAGAGAGATATTGACAAGCTGGAATGTGTCCAGAGGAGGGCGACTAAAATGATCAAGGGTCTGGAGAACAAGCCATATGAGGAGCGGCTTAAGGAGCTGGGCATGTTTAGCCTGAAGAAGAGAAGGCTGAGAGGAGATATGATAGCCATGTATAAATATGTGAGAGGAAGCCACAGGGAGGAGGGAGCAAGCTTGTTTTCTGCTTCCTTGGAGACTAGGGCGGAACAATGGCTTCAAACTACAAGAGAGGAGATTCCATCTAAACACGAGGAAGAACTTCCTGACTGTGAGAGCCGTTCAGCAGTGGAACTCTCTGCCCCAGAGTGTGGTGGAGCTTCCTTCTTTGGAAGCTTTTAAGCAGAGGCTGGATGGCCATCTGTCAGGGGTGATTTGAATGCAATATTCCTGCTTCTTGGCAGAATGGGGTTGGACTGGATGGCCCATGAGGTCTCTTCCAACTCTATGATTCTGTGATTCTATGACCCTTGGCTTTGTGGCTTGATGTGTCTGAGCTTTAACGCATCAGAAGTCGCAGAGGAAATGAAAAGCAAAAGTGACTCTGACATTGGTGCCAGATAACTTTTGACTCCTGACCTCGTTCTTAAACCGAAGGCCACTCTGCTCCCAGATTAGCACCGGGAAAAGATTACGTTTGCGCCTTCCAAAGGGCTTACTTGTTGACACTCTTCCTTCTCCTGAAAGAGTGCCTGAGTCTCCTGCCTCTCCAAGAGATTACTCTGGCAGACAAGACAAAGCTGATTAACCCCAGCATTCGAAACCCTCAACACCTCTGCTCCATGCTTTGCTTGCTCCACTTATTCTTTCTCTGCAACACACAAAAACATACATGCCACACTTTTGTTTCCCTGCACTTCAGATACTCCCTCGCATGAAGAATAATCCAAATAGATCACTCCAACAACCACCATGTCAGACTACACAGAGAAGCCATTGAAATCCACAAGCATGTGGACAATTTCAACAGAAAGGAAGAGACCATGAAAATGAACAAAATCTGACTACCAGTATTAAAAAAAACTCTAAAATTACAACAGCACAACAACAGAGAGGAAACAAACAAGGACATCTAATTACCTCTCAACAAAAGTTTGCTCTAGGCACTGTCAGGCCATTATATGCTAATCATGGTGGTCAGTTGAAACATTCACACCTAGCTCCAGCAGACAAGAGTCCTTTGTCCCACCCTGGTCATTCCACAGATATATAAACCCTTTTTCCTAGTTCCAACAGACCTCACTACCTCTGAGGATGCTTGCCATAGATGCAGGGTAAACATCAGGAGAGAATGCCTCTAGACCATGGCCGTATAGCCCGAAAAAACCCTACAACAACCCAGTCATTCTGGCCATGAAAGCCTTCGACAATACAAATCCAAATAGAAATATTGATTCACACCCATTTGTGCTCTTTCTCACAACAATAGACACAAACACCTCACAAACTGCTCTTGAGTGGATATACTTGCCATAAGACAAACTCCCAGAGAAATATTTCTGAAAACACGGGGATTTTCCAAAAACATTGCAGTGGACCTTTGGTTTTCATTGGGGTTTGGTTTCTTTGGATACTAAAATCCATGGATGCTCAAATCCCATTATATGCAATGCTGTGCAAAGTGGTATTCCTTATATCAAAAGGCAAAATCTAGGTCTGGTATTTGGAATTTTTGTAGGGGAAATAGTTTCTATCCATGGATAGACAAACTCACTGATGCAAAATGCGTTGATTTAGATGTCTGACTGTGTGTGTGTATGCATGTGTGTGTGTATCTGTGCGTGTGTGTCTATATATATATCATAGAACCAAAGAGTTGGAAGAGACCTCGTGGGCCATCCAGTCCAACCCCCTGCCATGAAGCAGGAAAATTGCATTCAAAGCACCCCCAACAGATGGCCATCCAGCCTCTGTTTCAAAGCCTCCAAAGAAGGAGCCTCCACCACACTCCGGGGCAGAGAGTTCCACTGCTGAATGGCTCTCATAGTCAGGAAGTTCTTCCTGATGTTCAGATGGAATCTCCTTTCTTGTAGCTTGAAGACATTGTTCTGCGTCCTATATATATCATATGCTAAGTAAAAAAGGTAAAGGTAAAGTCTAGTTGTGTCCAACTCTGGGGTGTGGTGTTCATCTCCATTTCTAAGCTGAAGAGCTGGCGTTGTCCATAGGCACCTACAAAGTCATGTGGCCAGCATGACTGCATGGAGCGCCATTACCTACCTGCAGAAGTAGTACCTACTGACATCTGCATGTTTTCAAACTGCTAGGTTGGCAGAAGCTGGGGCTAACAGCAGGAGCTTGTTCTGCTCCCCGGCTTCGAACCGCCAACCTTTTGGTCAGCAAGTTCAGCAGCTCAGCGGTTTAACCCACTATGCCACCAGGGGGCCCATATGCTAATTATTTATTATTATTTATTTATTTATGCCACTTTTATCCCGCCCATATCAGCCTGAAGGCGACTCAGGGTAGCGTACAAATTGGCACAATTAGATGCCATATAAAAACACATACATTGGTTAAAAGCAAAAAATAAAATAAAAATCACATTACAATAAATTTACAAACTGTAAAAACAATAACAATAAAAATTATAAAAACTATGTCTTCTTGTTCAAGTCCTCAACCGTTCCATTGTCTTAGCGTTCCTAGTTAATATTCCAATTTGAGTTTATCTGGTCATGCTGAAGTTCCAAACACTTGCTCAAAGAGCCAGGTTTTCACTCTTTTTCGAAAGGTCAGAAAGGAGGGGGCCAATCTAATATCCCTAGGCAGGGAGTTCCACTGCCGAGGGGCCACCACTGAGAAGGCTCTGTCTCTCATCCCCACCAGACGTGCCTGTGTAGCAGGTGGGATCGAGAGCAGGGCCTCCTCAAACGATCTCAACTTCCTGGAAAGTTCATAGGGAGAGATGCGTTCGGATAGATAAGCTGGGCCGGAACCGTTTAGGGCTTACAGGTTACACAAGTAGGTTACACATTTTTTTTTCTTAGATATGTATCCTAAGTGTATGGAGGACTGAAGATATGGGACTGTATTGAACTATTCCCAGCAGAAGTTGTCATATGCAGGCTAATTCACACTTCCTATTGGAAGAAAGTACTGCGATATAATAATATACACAAGGTAAAGGAAATTTACTCCAGAGACTCTAGACAGATTGCAGATCCGTTTATGTGTTTACCAGCTGGCACCCTCAGTGCACACAAGCCAACCTGCTATTTAAAGTTGCACTCTCCAACTGCTCAGATTTGGCCATTCCTGGAGAATATCAAGTCTTTTCATTAACAAAAATTGCATCATTCATTCTTTTTCATACTTCATCTGCTACCAACACATTCTGAAATTAACTATGTTACCAAAGAGTTGAAGATAGTGTGGCTTCATTACAGAAATAATGATTATGACTGAAATATGAACTCTTAAAGCACATTCATAAAATTGGAAGGAATGATTATTCACATGCAACAACCTCCACCGTTAGTTCTTTTTCACCACTCCTAATGAGACTGTCACCTGTATTCATTCCAAAAAGCATGCTTAACCAATAAAGAAACATGGTCAAGTGGCACACGCATTTGCCATGACCTTTCTTGTTGGGTCGCAAACCAAAATTTGAAACCACCAACATGGATGCATTGAACTCAATTGGCATGACAAATCAAAATGGTGCTAACGAGTAAAGCTGAAGATGATGAACACGTGCATTCCATTGATTCCCAAGGAAGGCAGAAGGGGTTACCTGGAGAGCCCAGAAATACACATTACCTGCTGCCTCTGGTACGCAGAGAACGTCCTTTCAAGGTCTTCAAGGTCCAGCACCTTAAACACTCGGCCATCATCAATGCCAGTCCACACTGTGCCTTCCAGCTTGTTCTAGACACAGAGAGAAAATAGGCAGAAGAGGGAAGAAATGTCACTTTTGGCTATGTTCCACATGTTTAGTTAATTTAAATAAAAGTTACTGATATGTTCATAAATACAAGCAATTTTCATAAAACCATCTCCTATAAAAATAACCTTGGGTGTATATAACCAATGTGGTATACTGGTTTGAGCATTAGACCATGAACACCCATCGACCTTGGGCAAGTCACACTCTCACAGCCTCAGAGAAAGGCAAGGACAACCCCTTCTGCCCAAATCTGGTCAAAAACAACAACAGCCCCGTGACAGATTTGTCTTAGGGTGTAGGGTGGGCCTGCACAACCTGCAGCCCTCCAGGTATTTGGGCCTCCAACTCTCAGAAGCCCTATCCAGTTTTTTCAATAGTCAGGAATTCTGGGAACTGAAGTCCAAAACATCTGAAGGGCTGCAGATTGTGCAGGCCTGCCTTAGGGTCACCCTATGTCACCATCAACTTGCAGATACTTAACAACAATAATCAAGAGAAACAGATGCCAGCTGTTTCACCATTGCCTCACCACCAGCTACTTTCAGTGGGACAATAAATTCTATGAACACAAAGATGGTGTAGCTATGGGAAGCCCTCTCAGCCCAGTCATAGCAAATTTCTACATGGAACACTTTGAAAAACAAGCCCTGGAAACAGCAACAAAAAAGCCCACTATATGGTTCAGATATGTGGATGACACTTTCACCATTTGGAGCCATGGAGAAGAAGAACTAAACAGGTTCCTGGACCATCTTAACAGCATCCACCCAAACATCCAATTCACCATGGAAAAAGAAAATGAAGGAAGACTGCCTTTTCTAGATGTCCTAGTCATCCACAAACCAGATCAACAATTGGGTCACACAGTTTACAGAAAACCTACACACACAGATATCTACAGAAAAACTCCAACCATCACCCAAGTCAAAAAAGAAGCACCATTAAAGCCTTGGCAGACGGTGCAAAAAGAATCTGCGAATCCCATCTCCTTCAAGGTGAACTGAACCACCTCAACTGGGTTTTACACGCCAATGGATACTCCACCTCAGACATCAGAAGAGCTGCAAGACCGAGAACAAGCCACTAGAATAAAGACGAAGATCCACCCAGAGGAAACGTGTTCTTGCCTTAAATAAGGGGAACCACTGACCGCATAGGGAAGCTGATGAGGAAACACAACATACAAACTATCTACAGACCCACAAGAAAATCCAACAAATGCTACATTCAGCAAAGGACAAGAGGGATCCTCTCACCTATGCAGGAGTCTACCGTGTACCATGCAGCTGTGGACAAGTCTACATAGGGACCACCAAACGCAGCATTGCCCAAACACGAATCAAGGAACATGAAAGGCACTGCAGACTACTTCAACCAGAGAAATCAGCCATAGCAGAACACCTGATGAACCAACATGTAAACCGCATAGAGTCGCCTGTCTGGGCTGAAATATGCGGTATAGAAATAAAGCAAATAAATAAATAAATAAATAAATAAACTTGGACACAGCATATTATTTGAGAACACAGAAATGCTGGACCACTCTCACAACCACCATGTCAGACTACACAGAGAAGCCATTGAAATCCACAAGCATGTGGACAATTTCAACAGAAAGGAAGAAACCATGAAAATGAACAAAATCTGGCTACCAGTATTAAAAAAATTAAAAACATAACAGTAAAAACAGGGAACCTCCAGACAAGAAACAATCAGGGACAGCTAATCACCTCTCAACAAAGGATCCCTAGGCAGTAAGAAGCCAGATCTTGAAATCTTCTAGGCCATTAAATGCTAATCAAGGTGGCCAACTGAAACATTCACACCTACCTCCAACAGACAAGAGTTATTTCTCTCACTCTGGATTTTCCACAGACACATAAACCAAATTTCCCTAGTTTCCAACAGACCTCACAACCTCTGAGGATGCCTGCCATACATGCAAGTCGAAAAGTCAGGAGATAATGCTCCTGGAACATGGCCATACAGCCTGAAAAACTTACAGCAATCCAAAAACCAAGAAAACCAGATGCCAAGTAACTTTCACTTCAATTTCAAGCAAATTAATTTTGGCACCTATGAAGCATGATCCAGGAGATATAATGAGCAAAAGAAGATGATTAACATGATAAACAGATATAGTAAATGAATTAAAATTAAATTTTAGGCTGGGCATCTAAGGAGACAGTTGCCGAAAGAAATTCAACATATCAATCAATTGGAATTTTTGCAAGATGAAGGGAAGGCAAAGGCAAACCAACACTGAATAAAACTTGCCAAGATAACCTCCTCTACCACAAGTCAGAAATAACTTGAAGCACACAACAACAGAATGTAGACATGTGTGTACATCATAGCAAGAACATAGGATACATATGTGGAAGGGGCGGGATGCAGTGAACCAGGCTCCAACTGCCTAACACATTTGGTAGAAAATCTCAATGAATGGTTGGATTGCAGGGTTGCTGTGGGTTTTCCGGGCTGTCTGGCCATGTTCCAGAAGCATTCTTTCCCAACGTTTCGCCCACATCTATGGCAGGCATCCTCAAAGGTTGTGAGGTTTGTTGGAAACTAGGGATTCTGGCCTTTAAACCCTTTGCCAACACAGTTGGATTACAGTTTCCGATGCTTATGCTGATTAGGGTTGATGGAATTAAAGACTCTAAAGGCCACAGATTCTCCATCCCTGCGTGATGGAATTGAAATTGCATGATGCTCAATTGAACGGAAGTTCTGACATCATTGAAAGGCGCCTTACCTCAGGGAGCTTGCACCAATTGAAGGACTTCAGAGCGTTTGTTGGCTGTGGGATGTTTTTCTTCTTAAGTCCCAGCCCCAGTGGGGCTCCTGGAGCCGGAGGCAGTCCTCCCAGTGGAGGGGGTCCTGGTGGAGGCGGGGGGCCACCCGGAGGAGGCGGTGGTGGAGGTGGCGGTGGGAGGAATCCTCCTGGAGGTGGAGGTGGTGGAGGAACCGGGAGGAGAGACCCCAAAGCGGCCGTAGGTAACGGGCCCCCGGGAGCACCAGGAGGCAAAGGCGGGCCCCCAGGTACTGGAGCACAGATTGCTCTCTGCAAGAACAAGCAACAGGAGAAAGATACAGTCAAGTTAAGGGATGTAGGGCAGGCGTGGGCAAACTTTGGCCCATTCAAGTATTTTGGACTTCAACTCTCACAAATCCTAACAGCTGGTAGGCTGTTAGGAATTGTGGGAGTTGAAGTCCAGAACACCTGGAGGGCCAAAGTTTGGGGGTGACTCTATGGCACGCCTGGGTAAACTTTGGTCTTCCCAGACACTGATCAATACTTGCAGTCATATCTTTGTCATTAGTATGTAAACTCGCCAAGCTAAGAAGCACTATTGTTTATGGGAGCATCTACACCAGGCATGGGCAAACTTTGGCCCTCCAGGTGTTTTGGACTTCAAATCCCTTGGAGGTGTCTACCGGCAATGGCAGCTCTTCAGCTCAGAAATGGAGATGAGCACCAACCCCCAGAGTTGGACACGACTGGACTTTATATCAGGGGGAAACCTTTACGTTTACCTATTCTATTCTATTCTATTCTATTCTATTCTATTCTATTCTATTCTATTCTATTCTATTCTATTCTATTCTATAGTATGGGAACCATTGCTGATGTCAATTCTCATAACCTCTATTGCAGTGGTTCTCAACCTGGGGTCCCCAGATGTTTTTGGCCTTCAACTCCCAGAAATCCTAACAGCTGGTAAACTGGCTGGGATTTCTGGAAGTTGTAGGCCAAAACACCTGGGGACCCACAGGTTGAGAACCACTGCTCTATTGCTATCTGCTGCAGGACGGAGGCGACCTGATCCTGATCCATCCCCTTTCCCCACAATGGTTTGCGTTGGACATCATTTGTTGGTCACTCTCATCACAAAATGCAGTGCTGTTTGGGAGTTTGGACAAAACTCCAGAGCAGCCCCAGATGTAGGGCTAAACTGGTTCAGTTCAGTTCTTCACCCCGCATTAAGAACCAGAGGTCCTTCAATGTTGTCTGGACAATCGGGTTTAACTTCTGGACTGTTTTGGGTTATAGAGCTGGTGTAAACAAGCCCTCAGGCACATTCTCATTTTCAGACCCCATTTTTAAGCCAATCCCCTGCAGCAAGTGGTCTTAAAAATAGTATGGAAATCTGGCCCATTTTCCTTGTACCCAGAAATGGCGAAGAGAACCCATTCCCTGGCCTCACCCTGCTGAGTTCGTGGATCTGTGCCGTGAGGTCTACCACTTGCTGTTTGGCTTGTTTATGCTCCGACAGTTCTTTCTCAAGTTTCTCCTTCATCTTGTTCAAGGTCTGCATCATCTCCTCTTTCTCCTGGGCCTTGGCGTCACACTCCCGTTCCTTCTTCTCCAACTTCTGCTGGAGTTCATGATGTTCTTTTGAAAAGGAAAAAGAAGGTTTGACACATCTTTCTCCACAATATTAATTAGAGTGTGACTTTTTAAATCCACGGATCTGATATCCATCTCCTCTCCCCAGAAGTGGTGGTGGGCTCTCTAGGTCATCCAGTGGTATTCTATTCTATGTTTCCTACCCAAGCATACCACAGGATAGCACTGAAGTAATTACAGAGACCTACAAATGGATGTGTTTTGAGACCCCAGGTCCTCCACTGTGAAAATATAGTGTTTGCTAGGCATGTGCAATCCATGGCTCTAAATCAGTGTTTCTCAACCTTCCTAATGCCGTGACCCCTTAATATAGTTCCTCATGTTGTGGTGACCCCCCAATCATAAAATTATGGTTGGGGGTCACAACAACTTCACACCGTAATTTTGTTACTGTTATGAATCGTAAATATCTAATATGCAGAATGTATTTTCATTCACTGGACCAAATTTGGCACACATACCTGATATGCCCAAATCCGAATACTTGGGGGGTTGGGAAGGGATTGGTTTTGTCATGTGGAAATTGTAGTTGCTGGGATTTATAGTTCACCTACAATCAAAGAGCATTCTGAACTCCACCAACAATGGAATTGGACCAAACTTGGCACACAGAACTCTTATGACCAACAGAAAATACTGGAAGAGTTTGGTGGGCATTGACCTTGAGTTTTGGAATTGTAGTTCACCTACATCCAGAGAGCACTGTAGACTCAAACAATGATGGATCTGGACCAAACGTGGCATGAATACTCAATATGCTCAAATGTGAACACTGGTGGAGTTTGGAGAAACTAGACCTTAAAATTTGGGAGTTGTAGATGCTGGGAATTATAGTTCACCTACAATCAAATAGTATTCTGAACTCCACCAATGATAGAATTGGGCCAAATTTCCCACACAGAACCTCCATGGCCAACAGATAATACTGTGTTTTCTGATGGTCTTTGGTGACCCCTCTGATACCCCTTCACGACCCCTCCAGGGGTCCCGACCCCCAGGTTGAGAAACGCTGCTCTAAATGGTTCTAAAGTACTTACAAAACTAAAATTCTGGTGGTGAAAACTAGGGGGCGCTGGTGCTTTGCTTCTACAGTGTTGCTAAAGTTCTGGTGGTGAAAATTTCAGAACTCTAACACAACTTTCAAAATTTCATTATAAATGGCAGTTCCTAATTGGTTCTGTCATAAAAATAATCAATAATGAGATAATAATGAAATTATGAAAGTTTTGTTAGAGTTCTGAAATTTTCACCACCAGAATTTTAGCAACACTGTAGAAACAAAGCACCAGCACCCCCTAGTTTTCACCACCAGAATTTTAGTTTTGTAAGCACTTTAGAACCATTTAGAACCATGGATTGCCCAAGCCTAGTGTTTACCAATTATCCAGTTTTCAAGATATGGGTCTCTTGAAATGCAGCAAATATGAGGGCATATTTTATTTTCAATTGTTGACCAGGATGTTTTGTAAATCATGGTGGATAAGACCTGCATTGAGTGTGGGGACTCATAGCCAAGGAGAACCAGTTCATTGGAAACAGTGACCTTGGTAATGCATCCTCTAAGCCAGTGGTTCTCAACCTGTGGGTCCCCAGGTATTTTGGCCAACAACTCCCAGAAATCCCAGCCAGTTTACCAGCTGTTAGGATTTCTGGGAGTTGAAGGCCAAAACATCTGGACACTCATAGATTGAGAACCACTGTTCTAAGCCAAACTCAAGACCCATGGTTCAAATCCACCCCTTCATGTCCTTGTATGTGGCCCTTCAGATGCTGGACTACAACCTCTGTATTCCTCATCATTAGACAACATGACTAGAACACCTCACTACATCTGAGGATGCTTGCCATACATGCAGGCGAAACGTCAGGAGGTAATGCCTCTAGAACATGGCCATATAGCCCGAAAAAACCTATAACACCCCAGTGATTCTGGCCATGAAAGCCTTCGACAATAAAATGATTAGAACTGATGGGAGTTGGAATACAGTCACATTAGGAAGGTTACAGTTTCTTCTGTTGAGTCAGGAGAGTGAGGTTTGAATTTAGATGCAAGGCTTGTGGATATGATGTCTAACTTTAAAACGTCCTTTAACTTTTCCACAACTTCAATCAAAATGGTATATTGAGTCCCCCCTCGGGGGTTGAGAAGGGCAGAGTAGAAACGCGTGAAATAAATAAATGTGTAGCTGAATTTGAACTAAAACCAGTATGACAAAAATTCCCCAAAAAACATCAACCAAGTCTCCACCACGGAGGTTCGGCCTTCTCATCTCCAACATTTGGGCTTCACATCTCCCTGCTTCCATGTTGTCTTAGAACCCTCAGAGTTCAAGGGTGTGTCTGCACTGTAGAATTAATGCAGTTTGACACAACTTGAACTCCCATGGCTCAGTGCTAAGGAATCCTGGGAGTTTGCAGTTTTACTCGAACTGTAGCCTTCTCTATCAAAGAAGGGCTGATGCTTCACCAAAGTACAACACTTCTTTGTAGGTGAACAGATGGCAACTACTGGATGGCACATGTTCTGTATCAGCAACTAGAGCTGATGTGGTTTATCCAATGCAATTTTCTGAATCAGCAGCCTAAATAACGAAACTGAATCTAAAGTTGCCCAAAAACTGATTCATAACCCTTTTGGTACTGATGTTGGAGAGTGGACCCTGGTCAACGTGGTCCCTGGTCAAGTAGTCAAGGTTGGAAATCACTATTTGCACCCAATGCCTTCAGAATTAGACCTTGACTGTTCTTTCCCTTCCAACTTCTTTTTCAAGAGGGACCTTACGCAAAGCTTTTGTTGCATGATTATCCTACAGCTACTTTTGTTTCCTATACAGATTGAGCATCCTTTAGTCCGAATACCAAAATCCAAAATACTCCAAAAATCCCAAAAATATCAGTTAAGATGGTGACACTTTTCCAGAGTTTAATGTACCTTGTTATGAAAATTATTACAACTATTGTGCATAAAACTACCTTTTAGGCTGTATGTACATGAAGCATAAATTAATTTCTTGTTTAGGTGGCTTCCCATCTCCAAGATATTTTGTCATGCATGTAAAAGCAAATGCAGGTATACCTAAATCTGGAAAAAACTTTTAATCTGAAGCATTTTGGGTAATAGAAACTCAACCTGTATATGATGCCACATCTGTGCCATGTTGCCATGGTCACTGATGGTGCAGCTGGTTGGGAGTCAGATGCATTAAAATCATTATTGACCATATTGGTCATGAGTTCAAAGCCAGTCCGGGTTGGAGTGTTGACCAGCAAGCATTTGTCTAGCGTGCTGTCGACCTTTGAAGCCTGAATTATTATTATTATTATTATTATTATTATTATTATTATTATTATTATTATTATTATTAACTTTATTTGTACCCCGCTAGCATCTCCCGAAGGACTTGATGCGGCTTACAAAAGCCAAGGCCTCAACAAACAATAGCATAACAAATACAACCGAAAGCAAAATCAAAAACATTAAAGCAAAACAATAGAACAACAAAACAATACACCATAACACAATAAAAACTAAGGCCGGGCCAAGTAATGGGTACAGATTAAAAAATGCTGGGTGTGACAGGTGATATGTCAGATTTCAGGGTAAGTGCAATGTGCAGAGAATCTTAAAACTCTAATAAAGTGCTTCTGGGACATAATGCTGGAGTTTCTTATTCTGGAAAGGCACATCGGAATAGTCAGGTCTTCAAGCTCTTCCTAAAGAGTGCCAACGTGGGGGCTAGTGTAATGTCTTTGGGGAGGGTGTTCCAAAGTCAGGGGGCAACCACAGAAAAGGCCCTGTCCCTCGTCCCCACCAAACGCGCCTGCGACGCAGGAGGGATCGCGAGCAGGGCCTCTCCGGACGAACAAAGGGAACGTGTGAGCTCATAAATGGAGATGCGGTCACGCAGGTAGGCAGGTCCCAAACCGTTTAGGGCTTTGTAGGTAAGCACCTGCACCTTGAATTGGGTTCAGAAGGTAAACGGCAGCCAATGGAGCTCCTTAAACAGGAGGGTTGACCTCTCTCTGTAAGGAGCACCAGTTAGTGTTGAAAGACAGTTGCATCTGTCAAGTAGGAAATGTAGGTACCGTTTATACGGGGATGCTAATTTAACTAATTTACAATGCCATAAAACTCTCCAGCAGCGTGCAAAAGAATGAGGAAGTACTGTATCTGTGTCACAAGTGGATGGTGACGCAACAGCTCCCCCAGTGGCCAGAATTCAAAAAGCATACCCTCAAGAAGCTGGACAGTTAAATAGCCTTTGTGTCTCTGTCTATATATGTTGTGTGTCTATGGCATTGAATGTTTGCCATGTATATGTGCATTGCAATCCACCCTGAGTCCCCTGCGGGGTGAGAAGGGTGGAATGTAAATACTGTAAATAAATAAATACATAATCCACTGATGGCTTACTCCATCCACCTTGAACCCATCCTTCTTTAGGAAGCGCCAGAAAGTGTAACAAAAACACATTTTCTCCATTCACCTTTTCTCATTTTTTCCGCTTGTTCTTTCCATTGTTTGACTTCATTTTCATTCACCAACCTAGAAAAGAACAGAGTCGTGATTCCCTCTGGAAAACAATAAGCACTGCACATTTTGCAAGAACAAGGCTCCCCCCAAAAAATGAGGATTAAGCAAATCCCAGAAGATTGTCTCCATATGTATTGGTCTTAATTAGTTCATCTCCCTCCCGCGAAATATTTCACAACGGCAACAGCAGGTTTCGGTTCGTTCATCCCTACCTTGAACACAATTGGATTTCATTAAGTATTCCCAGATTTTTCAAAGAGCAGTTATTCAGCGAACAAAAGGGACTAGGAAGATGTGGTCAGATGGAAAATACTAACTAAAATGAATATCACCCATCAAGGGTTGAAAAGTTTAGCTATGAAATATAGGGAAATTAAAGACATGAAATCCTCTCCAAGTCACCATGTGATTCAATTTACACAATTGGTCAATACACTGATTGGCGGGAACTTTGAATATATTTTAATGTTTTTTAATTAGGAATTTTTAAATAGTGTTTATATTTAATCCTGTTTTAATGTTGCCATATTTGTATGTTTAAAATTGCATGCTGAAGCTTTTATGTTAAGATCTCACTCACTACCTCTGAGGATGCTTGCCACAGATGCAGGCGAAACATCAGGAGAGAATGCCTCTAGAACATGGCCATATAGCCCGAAAAAACCTACAACAACCCAGTGATTCCGGCCATGAAAGCCTTCAACAATACTTTTATGTTAAGCTGCTTTTGAGTCTCCTTTGGGAGATACAAAGTGGGGTATAAATAAATAATAATATGATTGGCGGGAGAGGAAGGGAATAAAACTTTCTTTCCCCGAAGAGATCTTCCATAGTCCTAGTGAACAATTAAAAAAAATATTTGGAAATTAATCTTATTTATTTATTTATTTATTTTGAACTTTTATAGGACATAATAGTTGATTTCTAATTTAATAATGTCTAATTTGGACTGGAATGGGCCACTTCACATCAGATGACCACCAGATCTACTACTGCGGACAAGAGGAACATCGAAGAAATGGAGTAGCCTTCATAATTAATAAGAAATTCGCTAAAGCGGTGCTTGGATACAACCCAAAAAATGACAGAATGATCTCAATTCGAGTGCAAGGAAAGCCTTTCAACATTACAGTGATCCAAATATACGCCCCAACCACAGCTGCTGAAGAAGCAGAAGTACATCAGTTCTATGAGGATCTGCAGGACCTACTGGATAATACACCAAAAAGAGACATTATTTTCATTACAGGAGACTGGAATGCCAAGGTGGGAAGTCAAATGACAACTGAGATCACAGGCAAGCATGGTCTGGGAGAACAAAATGAAGCGGGACGCAGGCTGATAGAATTTTGCCAGGAAAACTCGCTGTGTATAACAAACACTCTCTTCCAACAACCTAAAAGACGGCTTTATACATGGACCTCACCAGATGGTCAACACCGAAATCAGATTGACTACATCCTTTGCAGCAAAAGGTGGCGGACATCCATCCAGTCGGTGAAAACAAGACCTGGGGCTGACTGTAGCTCAGATCACGAACTTCTTATTGCCCAATTTAGAATAAAACTAAAGAGATCAGGGAAAATACACAGACCAGTTAGATATGATCTCACTAACATTCCTAGCGAATATACAGTGGAAGTGAAGAACAGATTTGAAGGACTAGATTTAGTAAACAGAGTCCCAGAAGAACTATGGACAGAAGTCCGTGACATTGTTCAGGAGGCGGCAACAAAGTACGTCCCAAAGAAAAAGAAAACCAAGAAGGCAAAATGGTTGTCTGCTGAGACACTGGAAGTAGCCCAAGAAAGGAGGAAAGCAAAAGGAAACAGGGATAAGGGGAGATATGCCCAGTTAAATGCGCAATTCCAGAGGTTAGCCAGAAGAGATAAGGAACTATTTTTAAATAAGCAATGCATGGAAGTGGAAGAAGACAACAGAATAGGAAGGACAAGAGACCTCTTCCAGAAAATTGGAAACATTGGAGGTAAATTTCAGGCAAAAATTGGTATGATAAGAAACAAAGATGGCAGGGACCTAACAGAAGCTGAAGAGATCAAGAGAAGGTGGCGAGACTATACAGAAGATCTGTATAGGAAGGATAATAATATTGAGGATAGTTATGACGGTGTAGTGAATGAATTAGAACCAGACATCCTAAGGAGTGAAGTTGAATGGGCCTTAAGAAGCATTGCTAACAACAAGGCAGCAGGAGACGACGGGATCCCAGCTGAACTGTTTAAAATCTTAAAAGATGATGCTGTCAAGGTGATGCATGCCATATGCCAGCAAATATGGAAAACACAAGAATGGCCATCAGACTGGAAAAATCAACTTATATCCCTATACCAAAAAAGGGAAATGCGAAAGACTGCTTCAACTTCCGTACAGTGGCCCTTATTTCTCATGCCAGTAAGGTAATGCTCAAGATCCTGCAAGGAAGACTCCAGCAATACATGGAGCGAGAGTTGCCAGATGTTCAAGCTGGGTTTAGAAAAGGCAGAGGAACGAGAGACCAGATTGCCAATATCCGCTGGATAATGGAGAAAGGCAGGGAGTTTCAGAAAAACATCTACTTCTGCTTCATTGACTATTCTAAAGCCTTTGACTGTGTGGATCATAATAAATTGTGGCAAGTTCTTAGTGGGATGGGCATCCCAAGGCACCTTGTCTCTCTCCTGAGGAATCTGTACAAGGACCAAGTAGCAACAGTAAGAACTGACCACGGAACATCAGACTGGTTCAAGATTGGGAAAGGCGTACGGCAAGGCTGCATCCTCTCACCCAACCTTTTTAACTTGTATGCAGAACACATCATGCGATGTGCGGGGCTGGATGAATGCAAAGCTTGGGTGAAAATTGCTGGAAGAAACATTAACAACCTCAGATATGCAGATGACACCACTCTGATGGCCGAAAGCGAGGAGGAGCTGAGGAGCCTTCTACTCAAGGTGAAAGAAGAAAGCGCAAAAGCTGGGTTGCAGCTAAACATCAAAAAAACCAAGATTATGGCAACAAGAATGATTGACAACTGGAAAATAGAGGGAGAAACCGTGGAGGCCGTGACAGACTTTGTATTTCTAGGTGAAAAGATTACTGCAGATGCAGACTGTGGCCAGGAAATCAGAAGACGCTTACTTCTTGGGAGGAGAGCAATGTCCAGTCTCGATAAAATAGTGAAGAGTAGAGACATCAGACTGGCAACAAAGATCCGCATAGTCAAAGCCATGGTATTCCCTGTAGTCACCTACGGATGTGAGAGCTGGACCTTAGGGAAGGCGGAGCGAAGGAAGATCGATGCTTTTGAGCTGTGGTGTTGGAGGAAAGTGCTGAGAGTGCCTTGGACTGCGAGAAGATCCAACCAGTCCATCCTCCAGGAAATAAAGCCCAACTGCTCACTGGAGGGAAAGATAATAGAGACAAAGTTGAAGTACTTTGGCCACATCATGAGGAGACAGGAAAGCCTAGAGAAGACAATTATGCTGGGGAAAGTGGAAGGAAAAGGAAGAGGGGCCGACCAAGGGCAAGATGGATGGATGGCATCCTTGAAGTGACTGGACTGACCTTGAGGGAGCTGGGGGTGGTAACGGCCGACAGGGAGCTCTGGCGTGGGCTGGTCCATGAGGTCACGAAGAGTCGGAGACGACTGAACGAGTGAACAACAACAATGTCTAATTTGGAAATTAATCTTATTTATTTAATATTATCTAATTTTTTTAACAGGAAATAACAGCTGATTTCTAATTTAAATGTCTTCAAAATATTTTAGAAAAGAAAGCAGTCTTTCAGACCCAACTGGCCATAATACAGCTGGTCTTTCACACTTACATGTTTGACTTTTGTGGATTTGATTACTCGTGGTTTTCGTTAAAATGTTATCTAAGGGAATGACAAGGGTCCCTTCTACACTACTATATAATCCAGGATACCAAAGCAGATAATCCACATTATCTGTATTGAACTGGATTATTTGAGTCTACACCTCTATATAATTCAGTTCAAAGCAGATAATCTAGGTTTTATATGGCAGTGTCGATGGCCTAGGTCCTCCAGTGCAACACTATGGTCAACCTCCGGTGGAAGATCTAGTGAGCTGGAATACTGATTCTTAAATTGTGGGTTCCCAATCCCAAATGGAGTCCTCTTAGCTCAATGATGGGGTCATGACAAATTTGGCAAGGGTAAAAGGTTCATGAATGTCACCCATTTACACAAATCTGTTAGCAACAAAGTGCAGTGTTTACAGAGGACTTTGCAGAAAATGTTTCAGCTGTACTCTACACAAAGGAAAATAGGCCTGTTTAGCTAGCCTTGCAAACATTAGCTTAGTATTAGTAAGTGTTTCATTTTATACCTATATTATATACCCAGGGTCATGTAAAAAAAACTCAGGTGGAAAAAGATCATGAGTGGGAAAAAACTAAGGAGCCCTAGAGAACACCTCTCTAGGAGGACCTAGAACATCATATTGAAGAATCTAGAACAATCTCCAGGAATTTCTAGGTTCTCCAATGTAATTTTATGGTCAACTCCAAGCAGAAAGTAATTTTTTTAAAAAAAATCACTTATTTTTACTTTTATGAAATATGAAATGTGGAAAGCTAAATGTCAGTGATTAGAGGTAATGTACTATTTTTTTTGTCGTGTCAGGAGTGACTTCTGGTGTGAGAGAATTGGCCGTCTGCAAGGACGTTGCCCAGGGGACACCTGGATGATTTGATGTTTTTATCGTCCTTGTGGGAGGCTTCTCTCATGTCCCCGCATGAGGAGCTGGAGCTGATAGAGGGAGCTCATCCGCCTATCCCCGGATTCGAACCTGCGACCTGTTGGTCTTCAGTCCTGCCGGCACAGGGCTTTAACCCACTGCGCCACCGGGGGCTCCTAATGTACTAATGAAGTCTAGTTGTTTAAGAGGAACAGACCCCATAGTGCAGTGTTTCTCAACATGTTGGTCCCCAGGTGTTTTGGGCTACAACTCTGAGAAATCCCAACCAGCTTTCTAGCTGTTAGGATTTCTGGGAGTTGAAGGCCAAAACATCTGGAGACCCACAGGTTGAGAACCTCTTCCATACTGCCTACTTGCCCTGCATTATAGGCTTCCACAAGATGAAACATTGACCATGGCAGAAAACAAGATGGAATACCACAACTGCCTTTGATGGGATTACTCTGGTTCATGTTCTTTATGCAAGAAGGGGGCTTGGTTACTACACTTTAGCCCGGGCATTGGTCATCTTTGGCTCTCCAGATATTTTGGACTTCAACTTTTACCATTCCTAACAGCCTACTGCCTTGCCCTGGCCTGCTCTAGCCCCCAAAACCATAAAACAGGAAATGATATTGGACAAAAATACACAAAACAAAAGAATACCCAAATCAAAAGAAATGTCCAAGTCTAGCATTTCAAAAGAGAGGAGGAGATCTTACATTCGGACAACATTTTTAATATTAAAGTTCTCCAAGGGTGTCGAGTCCGGGTCCTGCCCTTTGTCGTTTTGAATAACTATTTGTTGAATAATACGGTCCAGCAGCAACCAGTACTGAACGGTGTTGCCATTTCTCTTATCTAAAAAGGAGAAGAAGAATGAAAAAGGGTGATGAGCAAAGCAAATTGTGTCAACATACAGACAATAAGGCTTATTATTATTATTATTATTATTATTATTATTATTATTATCCTGCTTTCCTCTTTTATATTCAGGTCTGTGGCAATGGAGAAGAAGACAAATTGAAGTATTTTCCCTCTAAATGAGAAATCTGCTCCCCAATAAAATTGTCTCTAGCATTACAAGCATGAGACTCTGATAACACTACGTAACACATTTTTTTGTTCCTGGGTTATAAATGCTATTTCCTAATTGGTCTTATCATTAAAAAGAATTTATTTGTTTATTTATTTACTTTATTTCTATACCGCTTTTCTCAGCCCTCAGGCGACTCAAAGCGGTGAACAACATCAGTACAAAACATCACAAAACAAGTATAGGGCAATTAAAAACGATTATAACATAACTCATTAACATCAGTATAACAATCATTAGTGCCTCAACAGTAAAATCAGAATCCAGTCTCGTCATCCATTACTCCGTATTCCTATGTTCAATTACACTGTTTAATCAAATGCTTATTCGAACAGCCAGGTCTTCACTTTCCTCCGAAACGCCAACAGGGAGGGGGTCAATCTGATATCTGCAGGCAGGGCGTTCCACAGCTGAGGGGCCACCACTGAGAAGGCTCTGTCTCTCGTCCCCACCAAGCGCGCCTGTGATGCAGGCGGGATAGAGAGCAGGGCCTCTCCAGATGATCTTAGTGTCCTAGTTGGTTCATAGGAGGAGATGCATTTGGAGAGGTAAGTATTGTAGCGAGGGAGAGATACTATTTCTTATTAAAGAGAAACCCTTTTTGCTCTTATTATAGTAATTAAGAACATGGAAAAAGCTTATTAAACTGCCAAAATTTGTTTTTGTGGGAGGGACATCCTGTTATAGCACATTTTGCTATAGTTTTTCAATCTCATCGAGTCTCAATCTACGTCAATCTGAACATGAGGAAGAACTTCCTGGCTGTGAGAGCTGTTCAGCAGTGGAACTCTCTGCCCCAGAGTGTGGTGGAGGCTCCTTCTTTGGAGGCTTTTAAACAGAGGCTGGATGGTTATCTGTCGGGGGTGCTTTGAATGTAGATGGGACCGTAGTTATTTGAGCATTCAATTAGGACTCCAGGAGACCAATTAGGACTCCAGGAGTTCGAATCCCAGCTCAGCAATGGGAACCCACTGTATGAGCTTGAGAAAAATACTTCCTCAACATCAAAGGAAAACAATGATAAACTTCCTCTGAAGATATTGTGTCAAGAAAACCCTGCCATAATTTGTACAATGCAATAACAACAAGTGATGGAATAGGCCTCCCCTTCAGATACATTAGTTACTGGACTCTGGCCAAATAATTTTAGTGGTAAAGTGGCTCTATAAACTGCTATTAGTTGTCATGTCTGCACAATTGCTCGGCTATATTGAAGAATGCATGACTGTATTTGAAAATCCAACAGAAGTACTGCATCCAGCCATTAATGCAGGTTAATGCAAGCCTCTTAGGAAGCTGTTTGTTGCTAGTCTTGGCCACAATGTGCCCTTAGCTCCAGTGAGATTTAACCCAGATTAATTGGGTAAATGTAAATAAAGCTTCAGTTATCAGTTATCACTCCCACTATCTCCTTCTCTGGAAGCTTTTAAACTGTGGTTGGATGGCCATCTGTTGACAATACTTTGGTAGTATCTTACTGCATGGTAAGGGGTGGGGCTGGATGGCCTTTGGGGTCCCTTTCCAACTTTATAATTTTACTAGCTTGGGAACCCGGAAGTGCCCTGGTTATTTGAAAAAAGGCATTGTTTGTTTTGGGGTGTTAGATAATATCATTGAGTTACTGGGTTGTTATAGGTTTTTTGGGCTATATGGCCATGTTCTAGAGGCATTCTCTCCTGACGTTTTGCCTGCATCTACAGCAAGCATCCTCAGAGGATACTTGCCATAGATGCAGTCGAAACGTCAGGAGAGAATGCTTCTAGAACATGGCCATATAGCCCGAAAAACCTACAACAATCTAGTGATTCCAGCCATTAAAGCCTTCGACAATACATCATTGAGTAACACTATTTATTAGGAAAAATCCAGTCTTTGATTTGGTTTTTTATGAATGCTCTCATTAGAAAATATACAATGATGTGGGTAAACTACAGTTCCCTGAATCATGGGTCAATCCTCCCCAATCTATGCCTGTATGCACATTTGGCCATGTTGGGTGAGTGTGTGCCAAGTTTGGTCCAGATCTGTTGTCAGCTGGGTTCAATGCTCTTGGGGGGAGGGGGGAGGCACAGTGCTCTGCCATGATGCAGGATGAACTACAACTTCCATCCTGCTGAGTCAGTCCCCCAAACCCATCCAGTCTGTTCAGCTGCTGATCAATTCCTCTGTGTTTGCTGGGTGCCATAGGAAAGGGTTAAGGGAGAGGCAATGGCCAGCGTCATGCAAATTCTACACAAGGAACCCTGGGATGCCAGCCTGCAGTATCTAGGATGAAATTCTCCCTGAATGAAAGCATTCCTTGGGTATTGTTGTATATCAGCCTGTTCAGTATGTGATTGTTTCTGATGTTCATGTTGATATTCATGAAGGGAATGGGGATGATGATCCGGTTCCTGGGCCAGGGTCTGTTGGATTTGGGGGTGAGGGGTCGCTTGGGCCTGAATGGAGTTTAAAAGAGGGTCCTGAGTTGCTGCAAGAGGATTCTCAAGGTCCCAGGCTTGGGAAAGACCTTTCGCCAAGGTTCCCTGAGCAGTCTGAGAATGAAGCTGATTTTGATTTACCAAGTGCAGGAGTTAATGATGAGAGTAACACCTTGAAAAGGAAAAGAAGTTTTAGTAAACAGAGACGGTTTGGGCAGCAATTAAGATGCTCAGCTCGGATTCAACAGAAGATAGATAATAAAACAAAACTAAGAAATAATGTGTTCCTTGCAGTTTTGGAGTCAGGGGAGGATTTATAATGATTTGTGGGAGACAACTGCTTCAGTTGAGGCAACGTCAGAATAATGCCAAGTTTCATGTACCAAGGTTTACCTAGCTCATGTTTTGCCTATGTGATAGGCTTTCTGTGTTGGTCATGGATTCAAGTGCATAGTTTCACAGATTTCTTTTGACTCTTTGTTCCTGTCTTCCTTTGTATCTGATGGGCTAAATTGGATTTTAATCTTTTACTGTGAATTACTTTTTACTGCTTTAGTGACATGAATTCTTAAATAAAATGCTTGCTGATTTTACCCAGCTGGTGTGGTGTTTAAAGTCAGAAGTGATTCTGCTCTGGAGTACAACAGGTAGACCGTAGTGCTTGGGGAGGACATTGGCAGTGTTTGGGCTTCACGTTCATGATGCTCGCTATAATCTGTAACGCCAGCTGAGGGAGGGCCTTTGTAGGCTTCTCAGCACTTAAAACTATAGCACTTAAAACTTAAAACGTAAAACTATTTATTATTTATTGTTTATTGTTTATTATTTATAATGAGACATGCCGCATTATCACGGGAGGTCTGTGCCCTACACCACTGGAGAAATTACACTGTTTAGCCAGTATTGCACCACCTGACATCCGCCGGGAAGTAGCAGCCAAAAGTGAAAGGACCAAGGCAGAGACATCTCCAGCTCATCCCTTGTTTGGGTATCAGCCAGCACGTCAACGAATTAAATCTAGAAATAGTTTTCTAAGATCTACAGAGATACTCGCTGGAACACCCCAGCAAGCGAGAGTCCAAAAGTGGCAGGCTCAAACCCAGAACCTCAATCAATGGCTGATACCAGATGAGAGACTCCCCTCTGGGCACACAGAAAACCGGGCGACTTGGAAGGCGCTGAACAAACTGCGCTCTGGCACCACGAGATGCAGAGCCAACCTTAAGAAATGGGGCTACAAAATGGAATCCATGACATGCGAGTGTGGAGAAGAGCAAACTACAGACCATCTGCTGCAATGCAACCTGAGCCCTGCCACACTGTTCAATGGAGGACCTTTTTATAGTAACACCAGAGGCACTCCAAGTGGCCAAAGGACATTCAATCAACTACCTAACTTCAATCAGCTTGCAAACTTTGTGATTTGTTTGTTTGTTTGCTTGTTAAAAAATGCAATACAACTGACACGATAAATAAATAATTTATTGTCTATATTGTTGTTATAGTGGCATCGAATTGTTGCCAATGTAAGTCGCTCTGAGTCCCCCCCCCCCCGAGGGTTGAGAAGGGAGGGGTAGAAATGTTGTAAATAAACAAAATAATAATAATAGCCTATTTGTGGAGGTGGGAGTTTGTTTATGTAAGTGGACTGGACACATCCACCACATACACAGTTTTCACTTTTATTATGTGTATGTATGTATGTATGTATGTATGTATGTATAAGGGAGCCACTGGTGGCGTAGTGGGTTAAACCACTGAGCTTATTGACTAAAAGGTCTGGGGAGTGGCGTGAGCTTCCGCTGTCAGCCCCAGCTTCTGTCAACCTAGCAGTTCAAAAACATGCAAATGTGAGTAGATTAATAGGGACTGCTCCAGCGGGAAGGTAACAGTGCTCCATGCAGTCATGCCGGCCACATGACCTTGGAGGTGTCTACGGACAATGCCGGCTCTTTGGCTTAGAAATGGAGATGAGCACCACACAACAGAGTGAGACACGATTGGATTTAATGTCAGGGAAAAAACTTTACCTTTACCTATGTATGTATAGATAGATGTGCAGGATACCAAAACAGGACTAGAAGAAGAATACAAATGCAGTCTTACAGGAAAGAGAGGCCAGAGAGGGCGGTAACTAAAAATATAGCAAAGTCTTCCTTGAGCATTTCTTTAGCTATGCATCCAAGGGACAAAAATCACTGCCAACAGTGAATGATAAGTGTTCAACACTGGGACAGAGCAACGTATGTAATGGGCTTGCCAAAGCTGTTTGGAGAAAAATAATATATTTCGCATCACAAACCACAGAGAGAGGCTTCTTGCACGTTTTCCAGTGAAAAGAAGCAGAACGCTGTCAAACAGAAACGATATTAAACATCCTCGTTCAGAGTGTTCCAATAAGACAGCACTGATAGGTCAAAACCAGAAAAGGATGTAGGATTAGAAGGCATTGCAATGGCATTCCAAGAGATTATCTGTACTCATACATACTTAATGATTACAAATGGAATGATGGAGCCCATTCCTGAAAAAGAAGCTAGGAGAAGGAGGAGAGAAAAGATAGGAGAAAATATTGCGAAGGTTGGAGCCTAGATACTAAATCCAGTTGTTAGTCCCAACAACGTTAGATCCACTAAACGAAATGTAAAGTTACTAATTTTTTGATGGATTCAAACACTCTCTCCTGCCAGGATCAACAAGTGAATACAGACCAGTATTTGCAACAAGAAACAGAGCGATTTCAGTGAACGCTGCATTTATTGGAATCGTGAAGGAATGCAAAATCACTCGAAAGCTGTTGTCGGCTATGTGAAATATTTAAGAAGGCAGCACTTTAGGGATTTCTTTGGCAAGAGTCTCCAAGAGGGGAGAGGACTTGGCATTCCTCAGAATACCTTTCCAATTAAGAAAGATGTTTATATACATCTGCACCTTTGAGCAAACAACCAATGCAGGTGAATTGTCGTAACACCATGAGGACTTTCTCAAAATACTGAGTTTCTGGAGACAGTATTGAAGTAATAAGTGGCATCTTAAATAATTTAGAGAAACAAAAGACCATTTAATCCAAGTAGTAGTGAAGGAGAGTGAGACCTTGAAAAGGAAAAGAAGTTTTAGTAAACAGAGGCAGTTTGGGCAGCAATTAAGATGCTCAGCTTGGATTCAACAGAAGATAGATAATAAACCAAAACTAAGAAAGAATGCGTTCCTTGCAGTTTTGGAGTCGGGAAGGGTTTATAATGATTTCTGGGAGACAACTGCTTCAGTTGAGGCAACATCAGGATAATGCCAACATTTGCCATGGATCAATGCTGTGGAAATCATGGGAGTTGTAGTTTTTTGTAGTTGTTTATTCGTTCAGTCACTTCCAACTCTTCATGACCTCTTGGGCCAGCCCTCACCAGAGCTCCCAGTCAGTCGTGGTCAACCCTAGTGCCTTCAAGGTCAAGCCAGTCGCTTCAAGGATAGCATCCATCCACCTTGCCCTTAGTCCTTCCATTTTCCTACTTTCCTTCCATTTTTCCAAGCTTTTCTATCTTCTCATTATGTGGCCAAAGCACCTCATATTTGCCTCTAATATCCTTTCCTTCAATGAGCAGTTGGGCATTATTTTCTGGAGTATGGAGTGGTTTGATCTTTTTGAGGTCCAAGGCACTCTCAGAATTTTCCTTCAACACCACAGTTTGCAGCGAGTTAAACCACTGAACAGCTGACCGAACTGCTGACTGGATTTGGACTGCTGATCGGCAGTCCAAATCCAGGGAGCAGGGGGAGCTCTTGCTGTTAGCCCCAGCTTCTGCCAACATAGCAGTTGGAAAACATGCAAATGTGATTAGATCAATAGGTATTCGCTTTGGTGGGAAGGTAATGGCGCTCTATGCAGTCATGCCAGCCCTTCGGCTTAGAAAGAGAGATAAGCACCACCTCCCAGAGTTGGACACGACAAGGCTTAATGTCAAGGAAAACCTTTACCTTTACCTTTTACCACAGTTCAAAAACATCTATCTTCCTTCATTCAGCCTTCTTTATGGTCCAGCTCTCACATCCACAGGTTACTATGGGGAATACCATTGCTTTAACTATGCGGATATTCATTGTTAGTGTAATGTCTCTATTCTTCACTATTTTATCGAGATTGGACATTGCTCTCCTCCCAAGAAGGAAATGTTTCTAATTTCCTGGCTGCAGTCTGCGTCTGCAGTAATTTTTCAAGGCCTTTATCCTTTTCTGCCAAAGAATGCTGGTGCCTCATCAAACTACAGCTTCAATGATCCCATAGCATTGATCCATGGCAGTTAATGTGGTGCCAGGTTGCATTCATTCTGCAGTGGAGATGTAATTCTGAACACCGCAATTGAAGAGAGATGTTGACAAGCTGGAATGTGTCCAGAGGAGGGTGACTAAAATGACCAAGGGTCTGGAGAACAAGCCCTATGAGGAGCGGCTTCAAAAGCTGGGCATCTTTAGCCTGAAGAAGAGAAGGCTGAAAGGAGACATGATGAGGGCCATGTATAAATGTGTGAGAGGAAGTCATAGGGAGGAGGGAGCAAGCTTGTTTTCTGCTGCCCTGGCAGACGCGGAACAATGGTTTCAAACTACAGGAAAGGACATTACGCCTGAACAGGAGGAAGAACTTTATAACTGTAAGGAGAGCTGTTCAGCAGTGGAACTCTCTGCCCCAGAGTGTGGTAGAGGCTCTTTTTTTGGAAGCTTTTAAACAGAGGCTAGATGGCCATCTGTCGGGGGTGCTTTGAATGCAATTTTCCTGCTTCTTGGCAGGGGGTTGGACTGGATGGCCCATGAGGTCTCTTCCAACTCTACGATTCTATGATTCTATTCAAAGAAAAGGCTTAACACGACATGCACCCTTGTCACAGTTGGATAAGATGGAGGAAAGGCCATTTATGCAGCTGACTTCAATAGTAGGTTGCTAAAAGATATATCTTGGGTGCTCCAAGGAAGTGTGGGGAAAATTTTTCATCAAACTTTGCTTGCACACATTGTTTGGGGGGCCAGGAAAGATATCCATAACTTGAAACAGGATACCGGTTGTGTTCTTCAAGAAAGGAAGAACTCAACAGACTGTACTCACAAACAATGCAGAAATCCATTGGTCATATCAAAATCCGTATTTTGGCCTCCCAAACTTATCCCTGAGTTATACACAAGGCCAACTTATACACGAATATATGTGGCAATTTGTGCAACCTTTCTCATTTACTGTCAGGGAAGTAATTAACGTGGAGCAAGAGAGTTGGAACAGAACTTCTCTCAAATTGGCACAAGTCACAAAGAATTTTTCAGTGGGTTCCTTCCCTTTCCCCCATGAAAATATACTTTGGGAGTTGTGGTTTACCTAGAAATAAAAAGAAAAATAGCTCAAGGGGAAAGGAAGGAAGTATAAGTGGTTAGGAAGAGTATATGCGCATAAATTGGGTCCATTGTTTACTTTCTCTAAGGTTAGGAAGAACTTCCTAACTGTGAGAGCTGTTTAGCAGTGGAACTCTCTGCCCCAGAGTATGGTGGAGTCTCCTTCTTTGGAGGCTTTTAAACAGAGGCTGAATGGCCATCTGTCGAGGTGCTTTGAATGTGATTTTTCCTGCTTCTTGGCAGAATGGGGTTGGACTGGATGGCCCATGAGGTCTCTTCCAACTCTAGGATTCTAAATGGTTGAAGTACTTATGAAACTGGTGGGAAAAAACCCCAAAATAGAAATGAAAACAAACACTGTTAACAAGGAAAATAATGTATTGTCGAAGGCTTTCATGGCCAGAATCACTGGGTTGTTGTAGGTTTTTTCGGGCTGTATGGCCATGGTCTAGAGGCATTCTCTCCTGACGTTTCGCCTGCATCTATGGCAAGCATCCTCAGAGGTAGTGAGGTCCTCACTACCTCTGAGGATGCTTGCCATAGATGCAGGCGAAACGTCAGGAGAGAATGCCTCTAGACCATGGCCATACAGTCCGAAAAAACCTACAACAACCCAAGGAAAATAATATTGCAATAGGAAAGAGATATTAAGAAAAAAGCGAGGCCCACAACTATTCTTTCACAGGAGTATTAAATATGTTAGAGAAAAGTATTGTTTGCTGCAAAACAAAGTTAAAGACCCAGCTAATTTGCCTGGGATCGATGTCAAAGAACTCAGAAATCCTTGGTCATAACTCTTACAGAGCATATCACAGAGACTGGCACTGTTTCCAATTCCAAAACCTCAACTATGAGTATAGATAGAAAAGTCGTATTTCACTCACAAGGCATTTGAAGACAGTGGTGAAGGATAGACATAAAGTGCGGGTAAGCTTCTGTGTGAGTCAGCCTTTTTCTGGTGAGCTCGAACATCTGGGTTGCACTTTTTGTGTCTATATGGACCTGCGTTGTCGCAATGGGGAGACAATACGGTTGAAAGTAAGCTTAGCTGCTCCATAAAGAAATACTGTTTAAAATTCCCACAGATAATCAGAAGTTGTCAGTGGTAATTAGAATTGCTCCAGGACACCAAGCAAGACGTTGGTCAAGTGATAGGCAGGCAAGCACAGAATTAAAATGTAATGAGTTACAAGTTACAAAACTACCGGTAGTTTGGTAGATTGAAGGAGGGCTCAGGAAACAGACAAAAATAAATAAAAAATAATATAATAAATGGGAAATGTTGAGGATTCTTCTTTTGGGTGGGTTTAACTTTTTCTAGCTAAGTTGTTTTTTTTAGTTAAGTTACTCAGTTACTTTGTTAAGAGACATTATAAGCGGAATTTTTCAAGTTTTAGGATTTCTGCTTATAAATTCTAAGGCTTTTAAAGAATGGCCCAAAAATTCACCAGCAAAGCGATTAATTACTTTTTAAATTAGGGAAAATATTTTAGTTAAGTTACTAAGTTACTTTTTAAGAGACATTCTAAGCAGATTTTTTTCAAGTTTCAGGACTTTTGCTTATACATTCTGAGGCCTTTAAAGAAAGGTCTAAAAATTTACCAGCAAAGCGATTACTTTTTTAAGATAGGAAAGATTTATTTTAGCTAAGTTACTAAGTTACTTTGTTAAGAGACATTCTAAGCAGAATTTTTCAAGTTTTAAGATTTTTGCTTATAAATTCTCAAGCTTTTAAAGAAAGGTCCAAAAATTCACAGCAATGTGATTAATTACTTTTTGAAATTAGAAAAAATGTATTTAGTTAAGTTACTAAGTTACTTTGTTAAGAGACATTCTAAGCAGAATTTTTCAAGTTTTAGGACTTTTGCTTATAAATTCTAAAGCTTTTAAAGAAAGGTCCAAAAATTCACAGCAATGTGATTACTTACTTTTTTAAAATGGAAAAAAGATATAATTTTAGTTAAGTTACTAAGTTACTGTGTTTAGAGACATTCTAAGCAGAATTTTTCAAGTTTTAAGATTTTTGCTTATAAATTCTAAAGTTTTTAACGAAAGGTCCAAAAATTCACAGCAATGTGATTAATTACTTTTTGAAAATAGAAAAAAATGTATTTTAGTTGTTACTAAGTTACTTTGTTAAGAGACATTTGAAGCAGAATTTTTCAAGTTTTAGGATTTTTGCTACAAATTCTAAAGCTTTTAAAGAAAGGTCCAAAAATTCACCAGCAAAGCGATTAATTACTTTTTAAAATAGGAAAAAGGTATTTTAGTTACGTTACTAAGTTACTTTGTTAAGAGACATTATAAGCGGAATTTTTCAAGTTTTAGGACGTTTGCTTATACATTCTGAGGCTTTTAAAGAAAGGTCTAAAAATTCACTAGCAAAGCGATTAATTACTTTTTTAAGATAGGAAAAAATTATTTTAGCTAAGTTACTTTGTTAAGAGACATACCAAGCAGAATTTTTCAAGTTTTAGGATTTTTGCTACAAATTCTAAAGCTTTTAAAGAGAGGTCCAAAAATTCACAGCAATGTGATTAATTACTTTTGGAAGATGGAAAAATATATATTTTAGTTAAGTTACTAAGTTACTTTGTTAAGAGACATTCTAAGCAGAATTTTTCAAGTTTTAGGATTTTTGCTTATAAATTCTAAGGCTTTTAAAGAAAGGCCCAAAACTTCACCAGCAAAGTGATTACTTTTTGAAAAAATAGAAAAAATATATTTTAGTTAAGTTACTAAGTTACTTTGCTAAAAAACATTCTAAGCAGAATTTTTCAAGTCTTTGACCTTTTCCTTACACATTCTGAGATTTCTTTAAAAGGTACAAAAATTAACCAGCAAAGCGATCAATTTTTTTAAAAAAATGAAAGAAAGTTACTTATTTAAGTAATTAATTCTGTAATAAAGTATATAAAAAGTAATTTGTTTTAAAAAGAAACTTTCTAAATTTTGGGAGGGATAAAACTTATGGTAAGGTTTTATTTTTTTTAACATGTGAATTATGACAACTCCAAACAAGAACCTTTGAGTATCCAAGATATACCATAATCGTTTGCCAGTATGTCCAATGACAAGGGAACATGGGAAGTATATTTATGTAAATACATTCAATACGTGTATTTATAGAATTTTTGCAATGTTTATGTTTTTTAATTATGCTGTATTCCACCTAGGGAAATGAGGAGAGATGGGTAAGAAATACAATTATTATTATTACTATTACTATTATTATTAAGTGCAATTTAACTACATCTCAAGAGCTATTATTATTATTATTATTATTATTATTATTATTATTATTATTATTATGTGCAATTTAACTACATCTCAAGAGCTATGTATTACCCATCCCTGTTGTATAGAGTGATTCATATTTTTTTTGGTGCTGAGTTAAATTGAGTGTTTGCTTTAGAGCAAAATAGAGAAGTTAAGGGTTCAATATACATACCAGCTCAAACCGTTTTGCAAACTCCAATTCATCTTCATTTCTGAGCATTTCAAAAAAGTCTAAATGCCTGGGAAGGGGGAAAAAAAAGAAAGAGTCATCCAGGAATGGATCAATGGGAGAAACTTTTATCAACTGATGCAAAAAAAAAAAAGTTATGTTACTTGGTAATTTTTAGACTAAGTGAGCCATGGGACTGGGACCAATGATTTCACCTACCCACACCTGACAAAGTACCCTAACCAGCAAAGTACCCTAAACGACTCCGGTCCTGTTTACCTCTCCGAATGTATTCTCCCCTACGAACCATCAAGATTATTAAGATCATCTGGAGAGGCCCTGCTCTCGGTCCCACCGGCCTCGCAAGCGCGCCTGGTGGGGACGAGGGACAGGGCCTTCTCGGTGGTGGCCCCGCGACTCTGGAACTCTCTCCCTCTGGAGGCCAGAACCGCCCCATCCATCCTAACATTTAGGAAACGGGTGAAGACGTGGCTGTGGAGTCAGACCTTCGAGGAATGAGACAACACCATAGGACTCTGGATGGAAGTGGATATAGATCCATCTTATTAGGACGACTGACCACTGTAGTTTTATATTTAGTGTATTTTAAAGTTGATGTGTAATTTGTGATATATGATATTTTAATGAATGTATATGTTTTTATGGCTGTAAACCGGGCTGAGTCCTTCAATGAGGTTGAGAAGCTCGGTATACAAAACTGTGAAATAAATAAATAATAATAAATAAAGTATGTCCTCTCTGGGTATTTTCTAGATCTTTCCACGTGAAGTTAAAAAGAACCATCCTGGAGGAATTAGAGAGGAATTTGCAAGGTCCTCCAGGTTGACTCTATGGAAACTTTGAGCAGAAGTCACTCATTTAAACAAAAAGGTTTGCAATGATCCATAGTTTCCAAAGTCCACTGTAAGTCCAGGAGCACCAGGATTGTGGCGCAACTGGTTGAGTGTCAGCTGCATTAAGATCACTCTGACCAAAAGGTCATGAGTTCGAAGCCAGCCCGGGTTGGAGTGGGTTTCCAACCAATTGTGTAGCCTGTTGTCGACCTTTGCAACCCGAAAGACAGTTGCTTCTGTCAAGTAGGAAAATTAGGTACCACTTTAAAGTGTGGGGAGGCTAAATTAACTGATTGATGAGGCCATAAAGACTTCAGCAAAAAGCATGCGTGGAATGCGGAAGTACTTCATCAGTGTCGCAGATGGACGATGAAAGCGACAGCTCCCCTGGCGGCCAGAGAAAGTTAAATAGCCTCTGTCTATGTCTGTATATGTCGTATGTCAAAATTGGCATTGAATGTTTGCCATGTATGTGTACAATGTAATCTGCCCTGAGTCCCCTGCGGGGTGAGAAGGGCAGAATATAAAAGCTGCAAATAAATAAATAAATAAATAAATATCACCTGTAGGTACAGGAGTCACATTGTAATCTAAATTTTTTCTCTTATTGACTCCAATCCTTGCCCCAATTTAAACAAAGGAAATGAACAGTAAGAAGGCCTTCTTGGTCTACCATGAGGGTAATAAGCAATTTCCAGAAGCAATGATTTGTGCTGTTCTGCTAACATTTCAAAAGGACCTAACTCTATATAAAGGTAGAGCTCATCTTATAGATCTGACCTCCTCTTTCTCACAACAATGTGCTGATTTCATGGCCAGGATCAATAATATCTATCTATCTATCTATCTATCTATCTATCTATCTATCTATCTATCTATCTATCTATCTATCTATCTATGTAAACAAACAAACAAACAAACAAACAAATAAATAAAATGTAATGTTTGTTTGTGGGATTAACAGAACTCAAAAACCACTGGGGGAATTGACACCAGATTTGGACACAATACACCTAACAGTCCAATGTATGTCCTTCACTCATAAAAACACTAAAAAACATAGCAGAAGGGACTTAAAAAGCCCCTAAAAAGCTAAATGACAATACAGAAAAAAGGGAAGGAAGAAGGAAGGGGAAAAAAAGAAAGAAAGAAAGAAAGAAAGAAAGAAAGAAAGAAAGAAAGAAGGAGGGAGGGAAAGAAAGAAGGAAAGGGAGAAGGAAGCATGGAAGCAAAGAGAGGTAGGGAAGGAAGAAAGGAGAGAAAGAGGGAGGGAAAGAAAAAGGGGGAAGGAAGGAAAGTTAGAGAAGGAAGGAGAGAAGGAAAGAAAAAAGAGAAAGAAGGAAGGAAACGGAGCGAAGGAAGGGGGGAATATGTAGAGAAAGAGTGAGGGAAGGAAAGAAGGAAAGAGAGAAGGAAGAAAAGAGAGGTAGAAGAGAAAGAAAAATGGGGAAGGAAGGAAAGAGATAGAGAAGGAAAGAAGAAGAGAAGGAAAGATGGGAAGGAAGGAAGGAAAGAGGGAGTGAAGGAAGGAGGGAAAGAAGGAGAGAAAGAGGGAAGGTTGGCCACACCAATGCGTGGCAGGTACAGCTAGTATGTGTGTGTGTGTGAATACATACATACATACATACATACATACATACATACATACATATTCTGCCCTATTTCCCTAAGGGGACTCAATGTGATTTTCCCTATCCAAATGATTGGATTATTTTAAACTGGGGAGAGCAAAGTACTTTGGGCAGAAATACATCACAAAATTGCCCAAAGACCTTAGAAAATGGCTAGAAATGGGCTAATTTGTTGGATAAGGATAGATGAAATCATGAATGCCAATACCAGATCTTGGGGGAGGCAGGGGGAGGTCATACTTCATGTATAAAATCCAGGGAAAAGGATAAAAAGAAGACCATCACACACATGATAGCTCGTGTCAACTACAGAAACTTACCTATCTAATGTGGAATTTTCATGCTCTCGTAATTTGTCAATGACAGGCTGAATTCCAAGCATGAGGAATTCGTATCTCAGGTGGAGTCTAAAGTCCAGACTTTCCTGAAAAAGAGGAAATAATGAAAAGAGTGTTTAGCAGAATGACTTTGCTGAATCAGTTTACATATCCAGCAAGAGTGAATTTATGGCTGGAGGTTTCTAAAGGGTATCTCAGTTCTTGGGGTCTAAGCAGACTTTTTGGCTATTCTGGCATCTCTGGCAAATGCGTGACCACACCACCAATATTTGGTAAATAAGGAATGGTTCCATTCTGGATTTTATTTCAACCTGAAATAGAACTATCCAAGGTGCTGAATCTGTTTCGGGGATAGAACTCAATATCTTGGTGAGCAACATATAAGCTTGCGCTATAAGGGACTCTATTCCAGAGTTGGTAGCCCCATTACTTTTCAGATATATATCAGTCTATGGGGCCCAAGGGACTTGAATGGAAAATTTCAGACATCTGCTGAAATTCCTTAAAGGAATATTCGCCGACTTGTTACCCATCATCCACTGAGCCCGTATCCAAGACTGGGAATTCCCACACTTACCACACCAGCTCCTTGGCTTAGAACTGCATTGATGAAGGACATGATGGCTGTCTTGAGGCTCACTTCATCCCGGTATCGCCCTGTACTTCTATCCAGGTCATTTATTAATGTCTGTGGAAGACACAACTTTAATTATTACAGTCTCATTACTTCGTATAGATGAGAAGAAGGGAAACACTCTCAGTGCAAACTACTTGCCTCTATAGTTTACTTGTATTTTATCATGGGATCAAGACATGGCAGTTAAAGTGGGCTCAAGGTACTATAATTGCAGAATGTGGACATAGGCAGTATTAGAGACAAAAGACAATGTTATAGGAAAGTTAGAGGTGACTTGGAAAAAATGCTTATCTCACTTTTATCTCCAACGTAAGAGATTTCCAGAATTTGGGGCTACTTTAAAAGCCTCCCAAGGCCTTGTAGATAGAGGTCACAGAGGGAAGTCTGACTTGGCCACGATAGTCCACGCTCTTGTTACATCCCATATAGACTACTGCAACGCTCTCGACAGGGAGTTGCCTTTGAAGACTGTCCAGAAGCTTCAACTGGTCCAACGGACAGCAGCCAGATTGCTAACTGGAGTGGCTCTCAGGGAGCATACAACTCCCTTGTTGCGCCAGCTCCACTGGCTGCCAGTTCGCTACCGGGCACAATTCAAAGTGCTGGCTTTAGCCTATAAAGCCTTAAACAGCTCTGGCCCAACTTATCTGTCCGAACGAATCTCCCCTTATGAACCTGCAAGGACTTTAAGATCATCTGGAGAGGCCCTGCTCTTGGTACCGCCATCATCACAAATACGGTTGGCGGGAACGAGAGACAGGGCCTTCTCAGTGGTGGCCCCTCAGCTATGGAACGCCCTTCCTAGGGAGATTAGATCGCCCTCCTCGCTCCTATCATTCCGGAAGAATCTTAAAACATGGCTATTTGAGCGGGCATTTGAAAATATGGAGTAACGGATATAATAATGGAATAACTATATGGCGGAACTGGACATTGTTTTAATGATTATCGACTGAAGTATGTTTCATTATAATGTTTGATTTTATTGTTGCTGATGTTTTTTATACTGTATATTGTAATTGTGTCCTTGGTGGCATTGAATTCTTGCCTTGTAAACCACCACGAATTGCCTGAAGGCTGAGAGGGGCGATACAGAAATGTACTAAATAAATAAATATCAGGCGGGGGAAGGCTAAGTCCAGCCTTTCAGGTGTTCGGAAAATGCAACTTCCATCAACATTATGCAGGATAATTGATAGTGAGGAATGCTGGGATATGTAGTCCAATAACATCTGGAAGACTTTGCTTCCTTGTGATCAAGGGTTTCTCAAACCAGTGCCAAAGCCTACTTGTGACTCTCCAATTTACAAACAAAAAGCCCAAAATCTAATACCCCCAAAATACAGAATATTTCCTTTCTGGAATACAACTCCCAGGCTCCCCAACTAGCTGGCAATTTTGGAAGTTGTAATCTCCTCAATAAGGAGAACAGGACACTTAAGTCAATGTAACCCCTTAAATTCCCAACCAAACAAAGTGTTAAGAAGCAATTCTGTACCTGAAACCGAGTCCGTTCACTGGCGTATTTTTGGTAATGCACCATGGCCTCCAGCACCTTTTTGTGACCCCCGGGAACCAGGCACACAGCGCCCATGATTTCCAGCACTGCCACCTTGGTCTTAATGTTCTCCGTGCTCAGACTCTGAGCGATTACATTAATGCTCTCCGAGTGCGCCAGGACATGAGCTCTCCCCAGAGAGTTATTCATCAGTGCTTTGATGCATCCAATGAGAGAGGTATGTATCCGAGACTCGGAGGTCTCGTAGTCCATGCTCTTCAGGAAGTTCAAGATGCAGCTCAAGCCATCCAGGTCGATGAATCTGGTTACAAACCTGGAGGGGGAAAAATACAGGGGTATTCCACCTCAGCAAGCGAGAGTCCAAAAGTGGCAGGCTCAAACCCAGAACCTCAAACAATGGCTGATACCAAATGAGACTCCCGCCTGGGCACACAGAAAACTGGGTGACTTGGAAGGTGCTGAACAGACTACGCTCTGGCACCACGAGATGCAGAGCCAACCTTAAGAAATGGGGCTACAAAGTGGAATCCACAACATGCGGGTGTGGAGAAGAGCAAACTACAGACCATCTGCTGCAATGCAACCTGAGCCCTGCCACATGCACAATGGAGGACCTTCTTGCAGCAACACCAGAGGCACTCCAAGTGGCCAGATACTGGTCAAAGGACATTTAATCAACTACCAAGCTTGCAAACTTTGTGTTTTGTTTGTTTAAAAAATGCAATACAACTGTTTGGTTTGCTCCTGACATGATAAATAATGGGTCTACTCAGAGTTGAACAACCAAGCGAAAGCCAGATGATATGATTAAGTCTCAACAACAAAATACAAAATAAGACACTCACCTCATAGGTTTGGTCCTCAGTGCTGTCTTCAGACTTTCGATGGTTTTGTTTCTCTCCTCTTCATCTTCTTTCTCCAGCGCGATCAACGATTTTCTCTAAAGGATAATATGAGCACAAACTATGAATGACTCACAAGCCATTTATTAATGTGTTTAATTTATTAACAAATACATTACGCTCTGAGCAGTTCACAGAAATGAGGTGAATATGACAATTCCCTATACCAGTGGTTCCCAACCTTCCTAATGCCGTGACCCCTTAATACGCTTCCTCATGTTATGGTGACCCCCAACCATAAAATTAGTTTCATTGCTACTTCATAACTGTCATTTTGCTGCTGTTATGAATAGTAATGTAAATATCTGATATGCAGGATGTATTTTCATACACTGGACCAAATTTGGCACAAATACCCAATACACCCAAATTTGAATACTGGTGGGATTGGGGGAGGGTATTGATTTTGTCCTGTGGGAGTTGTAGTTGCTGGGATTTATAGTTCACCTACAATCAAAGAGCATTCTGAACTCCACCAATGATGGAATTGAATCAAACTTGGCACACAGAACTCACATGACCAACAGAAAATACTGAAAGGGTTTGGTGGGCAGTTTGGGAGTTGTAGTTCACCTACATCCAGAGAGCACTGTGGACTCAAACAATGATGGATCTGGACCAAACTTGGCACCAAAACTCAATATGCCCAAATATGAACATTGGTGGAGTTTGGGGGAAATAGACTTTGACATTTGGGAGTTGTAGTTGCTGGGATTTATAGTTCACCTACAATCAAAGAGCAACGATTGAATTGGGCCAAACTTCCCACACAAAACCTCCATGACCAACAGAAAATACTGTGTTTCCTGGTGGTCTTTGGTGACCCCTGTGATACCCCCTCGCGACCCCTCCAGGGGTCCCAATCCCCAGGTTGAGGAACACTGCCCTATACACTATCACATTGACAAAGAAGAGGGCTTTTTCTGTGGCACCCCCATGTTGGAATATTCATCCTTCGAGGAAAGATAATAGCCAAAATTTAATGATTAAACTGTTCCTGGTAATGGATTTGGAGGAATGGAAGGATCTGTTTTCTCCATACAATCCCAAAATCTGCTTTACTGGACTAGCAAACTATTCAGAGCTGGCTTTTGGAGCTGCGCTCCTAATGGGGTATAGGATAGTGATTGTTATTTTCTTTCTAATTCAGGTATTTTTCTGTTGGTGAACAGGATAATAAAAATTACATGGAACAGTGATGTGTGTCAGTGTATTTGCAGATGTACACTTACTTCCTTCTTATTATAAAATAAATAAATCACAATACAATACAGGATTATATGTAGGAAAGGAGTTTCATGACCCTGAATTAAGAGAATGGCAACTAGGGACGACTTATTTTAAAACAACCATAATCCTGTGTTCTACCATGGAACCAGAAATCAACCTTCTTGTCTCTAAACCACCTGGATCTGCTTTTAAAGTGCCACCTTGGGTGCATCTACACTGTAAAATTATTGCAGTTTGACACCACTTGAACTGTCATGGCTCAATGCTATGGAATACTGGAATACGGGCCAGGCTTTAGCATAGCAGGTTAATCACCCGCTGCAGCTGCAGTAAATCTTGCCAACTGAAATCTTGCAAACCAAAACGTTGACAGCTTGAAGCCTGAGTCAGGGTGAGCTGCTGACCTTCAAGCCAGCTCCCCGCCCACCTAGCGGATTGAAAACAACCATGTGAGTAGATAAATAGGAACCGTATTAAAGAAGGGAGGTATTTTAGGCATGGCATTTCCATCAAAAAAAGGAGGAAGGAGATGGAGCGATAGCACCCCCCTGTGGCTGGAACTGAGCACAGTTCCAAAGATGCCGAAAGATGGGAAAAGCACACAGACACACACACCTCTATCAGTTGTTTGTTTAGGGCCAGGCTTTCGCGCAGGTGGCAAACCACCAGCAATTATAAGATCTATCAATGGAAAGGTTGCCAGTTTGAAGCCCCAGATCAGTGTGAGCTCCTGAAAGTCAGCCCAGCTTGTTATTGACCTAAGCAGTTTGAAAACAGCTTGAGATGTGAGTAGAGAAATTAGGTACTGCTAAAACAAGTGGGGGAGGTATTTTATGCCACCATAAAGAAAAAGATCAGAAAATGCCCAATGACCAAAAGGAAGGAGGAAATCCTGATGGCTCTTCATCATAGAGGATGGAGCCACAGCACCCCCCGTGGCTGGATTTAAGCACAACCTCCAAGACGCCAAAAAGCTGGACATCAAAACAATATACCTCCTTTCTGTTCTGTCTGTCTCTGTTCTGTCTAACCAAAAACGGCATTGAATGTTTTTCGTGTCTGTGTACTGTGATTTGCCCTGGGTCCCCTTGGGGAGATAGGGCAGAATATAAATAAAGTGCTATTATTATTATTATTATTATTATTATTATTATTATTATTATTACTACTTGGTTGGGTGAGAGTATGCAGCCTTGCCGTACGCCTCTCCCAATCTTGAACCAGTCTGTTGTTCCGTGGTCAGTTCTGACTGTTGCTACTTGGTCCTTGTACAGATTCCTCAGGAGAGAGACAAGGTGGCTTGGGATGCCCATCCCACCAAGAACTTGCCACAATTTATTATGATCTTTGATTATAGGTGAACTATAAATCCCAGCAACTACAACTCCCAAATGACAAAATCAAATTTTTTTGAGTGATGGACATACATTGGGTTGTTAGGTGTATGCTGTCCAAATTTGGTGTCAATTGGCCCACTGGTTTTTGAGTTCTGTGAATCCCACAAATGCATATTACAATTTTTATTTATATAAAAATGTTGTAAAATGTTATTATCTTGTCATTGTATAATTGGCATTAAATGTTTGCCTTATATGTGTTATGTGATCTGCCCTGAGTCCCCTTCTGGGAGAGAAGGATGGAATACAAATACTGTAAATAAACAAATAAATATAGCTTGGAGAGACAACAGCATTCACTGTCAGGGAATGCTAAAAATGTTGTAAAAGTACAGCTCCCAGGACCCCATAACATTGAGCCATGGCAGTTCAAGTGGTGCCAAACTGTATTAAATCTGCAGTATAGATGCAATCCCATTTGGCTCCTAAAATAAAAGGAAACAATATTCACCCATCTGTGGATAATAAAACTGGGAGGGGTGGCTCTTTTATTCTGCCCTTGTTTTCCTGAAATGTTGTCATTGTTTCCGCTCAAGCTTTCTCTAAGCTGGTGATGCAATGGGACAGCTGTCACCCGGGAAGTTAAAGGAGGAAGGTGTCTTGCAGAAATATTTAACTAATGATGTCACCTTTTCATGCTGGCAATTCACTGTAAGAAATCCAACAGGACACACTTTTCTCAAAGCACAACCAAAGTACTTTAGACACAACTGAGAAAAAGAACATCGGCATTTCATGGTTTCAGAGGAGGAATGGCCACATCTGAGAACTGCCGAAATGTGGCAGCCATGCCCACAAGGCTAGATCTTACCGCAAGGGATGGATACTTAAAATAAAAATAAAATATTGCAATTGTGGCTTCCCACTTGACCCCACAATCGAGACTTGAAGCTTTCCAGTTATGGCTTCTTTCTTTATGTCAAATTTGGTTTTGCCAAAGCAATTCCAAAAGTTCAGGTACAACAGGTAAGCCTCCTACCTGAACCTTTGAGACTGTGACTCTGCTCTGGAGTTTAGTCTGAATTCCCAGAAGTTGTTGAATCTTAAATGCTCTTTGTTGCTGTTGTTCATTCATTCAGTCATTTCCGACTCTTTGTGACTTCATGGACCAGCCCACACCAGAGCTCCCTGCTGGCCGTCATCACCCCCAGCTCCTTCAAGGTCAATCCAGTCACTTCAAGGATGCCATCCATCCATCTTGCCCTTGGTCAGCCCCTCTTCCTTTTCCCTTCCATTTTCCCCAGCATCATTGTCTTCTCTAAGCTTTCCTTTCTTCTCATGATGTGGCCAAAGTACACATCTTGGCCTCTACTATCCTTCCCTCCAATGAGCAGTTGGGCTTCATTTCCTGAAGTATAGACTGGTTTGATCTTCTCGCAGTCCAAGGCACTCTCAGAACTTTCCTCCAGCACCACAGTTCAAAAGCATCTCTCTTCCTTCCCTCAGCCTTCCCGATAGTCCAGCTCTCACATCCATAGGTGACTATGGGGAATACCATTGCTTTAACTATGCGGATCTTGGTTGCCTTTGTGATGTCTCTACTCTTCACTATTTTATTGAGTTTGGACATTGCTCTCCTCCCAAGAAGTAAGCGTTTCCTGATTTCCTGGCTGCAGTCTGTGTCTGCAATAATCTTTGCACCTAGAAATACAAAGTCACTGCCTCCAAATTTTCTCCCTCTATTTCCCAGTTGTCAATCATTCTTGTTACCATAATTTTGGGTTTTTTTATGTTTAGCTGCAACCCAGCTTTTGCGTTTTCTTCTTTCTTTTCCTTGATTAGAAGGCTCCTCAGCTCCTCCTCACTTTTGGCCATCAAAGTGTTGTCATCTGCATATCTAAAGTTGTTAATGTTTTTTCCAGCAATTTTGACCCCAGCCATGCATTCATCAAGCCCTGCACATCGCATGATGTGTTCTGCATACAAGTTGAATAGGTTGGGTGAAAGTATACAACCCTGCTGTACGTCTTTCCCAATCTTGAACCAGTCTGTTGTTCCGTGGTCTGTTCTTACTGTTGCTACTTGGTCCTTATACAGATTCCTCAGGAGAGAGACAAGGTGATTTGGTATGCCCATTCCACCAAGAACTTGCCACAATTGCTCTTATGTTTGGCAATTTTGATAGCTTCTTTCAAACTGAATCGCAGCTGAAAACAGAGGCTATTCAACCCCTCTGGGTCACCAAACATCACTCAAAAAGTGTGCCTCTGAATGTGGGCAAAGGGAGTCCTTCATCTCCAAAAGGAATTGCAACAGACCCTTCCCTTTTTAGGGATTTGCTCATCTTCCAATGTAATTCTATGGAAACTTCCAGGGGTAATATGAAAAAAAAAAACCAAACAAAACTCGGGAGGACCTGGCAAAATCTTAGAGAGACCATTATTTTCAGATAATTTTGAAATGCATTTATT